CATTTTAAAGTGGCCAAGTTTGGACAACATTGGTTTATCGTTTTGCAAGCCCCCCCTTGCCGAAGGGAACCTTGGCACGGTGGTAAGAAACCCACTTGAACCTGAACAAACCCACATTTGTTTTTCAGCACTGAAAACTTAGTCCGCCACTGGGGCTGAAAGGCTGAACTGAGCCCCGTCCTTCACAAGCATTTGTAGGCTAATCCAATCTCAAAGAAAACTCATAGGCAGACGATACCTATCCGAGCCTTGTTTTTCCTGGAGGAAAGTCCCCAGAATCCCCCAGCCAGCTAGGGCCACTGCTGACAATTCTGGGAGGTGAAATCCACACCTCTAGACGTCGCCAAGGTTGGGAAGCAGAGCTGAAGGCCTAAGAAAGTCCTCCTTTGATCCCTTCTTGTGAATGGGATCAGGCAGTTCAAATCCCTGATGAGACCCATTGGGGGGCACAATCTTCTCTTGGCCATTCTAAGGGTCTCACAGGGTTCTTGGGGGGCTGAAAGAGAAGCCTCCAGCACACTCATCTCCTCTGGATGGAAAAGCTGGGTAATTATGGACCAAAGAAGGTTGTTGCAGTCACATTACTGACCAGAGAAGCAACTGTTCTACAATTAATTTAAAATACTTGGCTAGCTCTGCCATCACATAACTTCCAGCATGCACAGAAAGGGCACCAATTGGAAATCACCGCCCAACACAACTGGAAGGCTCCAATTGGGGAAGCTTGTCCGATTGGGGTCCATTTGGCTTTTTAATCAACGTGGTGGCCTCCTCTCCAGCAAGACATGGAAAGCGGACGCTGCCTATCAGCCTGAAAACGCTCACGGCATGGGAAGGTCACTTGCTGCTTCCCACCAAAGGGAAAGCACGCTCCAGGTGCAACCCACTGAACAGGACCAGGAGTTCAGATTCCGTTGTACAGAATTCTCAGTAGACAATCCGGTTTGGGATAGTCTTGCAAGGAAAAAAGAAAGGAAAAACATGTTTTGTGCGGAAGGCAAATAAATAAGCATTTTCATTTTTACAGGTTTTTACAGAAGATCTTATGGGGCAAGTAGACTGAGGATGAGGCACCTTCCTTCCCTTGTGTGCCTATGTACCACCTTCCTGCAAATCCTCTTTTCTCTTGGCCACCACACCTGAAATCAAGCACAGGATGCCCAAACAACAGGCCTGTCCCTACACCCCACAATGCCATCTTGTCAGACCCCAGAGCTGTGCCTGCCCTGGGGAACAGCCTTCCCCCCAGAAATCCAGATGGCCCCAACCCTGTTGGCCTCTGGGAAAGCTCTAAAGACCTGGCTGTTCCCCCCAGCATTGGGGCCAGGCAGTTAGGTGAGCTCTGTGGGTAATGTGATTTTTGACCGGGGGTTACTATTGAACCAGAGCGTCCCAGGTTTTTATGGAATTTTTAATCCTTGTACTGTACTCTGTCCAGAGTCACTGCTGTGAGATGGGCAGCTCTAAGAAATTGTATAAATAAATACATTTCCCAGCACCTTTCTTTCCCTTACCATGCATGGCCACCACAGCGTTTTTCCTATCATTGTGTTTAAACATAAGGAAGACTTCCTGATGGCAAGATCTGTGCAACAGTGGAACAGTCTACTTAGAGAGGCTGTGGGTTCTCCATTTCTGGAGGTTTTTAAGAAAAGACTGGACAGCCGCCCCTTGAGGATGGTTTAACTCAGTGTTGGGCTGGCTGGGGAATTCTGGGAGTTGAAGTCCACTCATCTTAAAGTGGCCACGTTTGGACAACACTGGTTTAACTGATTTGCCTGCACCTGGCAGACGATGCAGGGCCTGCATCCTTCCAAGCGCACAGTTCTATGATCCCAGAATACCTCTGCTCGTCCCAAAATAGGCACGTTCGAGCACCCCAAACATGCACCAAACAGTCTGTGCAGGAATGTGCTGCATATGTCTACTCCCAAGAGGTAAAATGCTTGGACCATATTCTGGACTAGTTCTGGTCAACAGAGGAAAATACAGCACCTTGCATTCCACCATGAAAAATGGGTGGAATGGAAATGGAATAAAATTCTTCAGGGCCAAGAAATGTCTAGTTCCCACTGCTGGCCATTCTTATGTACCTTTCTCATTAGCCAATTTTATTTACATACAACAGACATATTCTCTCTCTCTCTCCCCCCCCTTCCTTCCTTCCTTCCTTCCTTCCTTCCTTTTATGGCCGCCCATCTCAAACAAGTGATTCTGGGCAGCGAACAATCATAAAATCAGTTAAAACCCAATTACCAGCACAATACAAAAGAAGATTAAATATATACAGCAGCCGAGAAAAATTATAATCCATAGATGATAAAACACACAGTGAAAATCAGTTTTATGTGTGAATAGGAATGCTAGCTCCCCATCCCAACCTTTTACGCGAGTTATTTTAAAGAAGCCACTTGGAATTTCTTCCCCTTTTTGGGAAGGGGTTTGTTAAAATACTTAACAGCTCCCCTTTGGGAGTTTCTTTGGGCTGTTCAGATAGGAGTGAGGTACAAGGAGGAGCTGTGTAATTAGAAGGATGGTGTTAAGAAGAAAAGCTTTAGATTTAATCCCCGGAAAGGGATTAACAAACCAAGATTATTAGTAGAAGTAGTACTGTAGTAGTAGTAGTCCCCAAATTACCAAAAGCAGCCTTTGGAAATATCTGTTAGGTCAGAAGATGCACAGAAGAGTTGGGACAAAAGAATTCCAAAATCCCAGGAACCAACTCCCAAATCAGAAATCAACTGCTTTGCATGTAACTTCAAACAGAAGATGGATGAATTACACCTCCAAGGACCCATACTGCCTACTTGCTCCATGAAGGCCATGCTCCCCAAAATCTCCCATTTGCTGGCTATGATGTGTTCCCGCAAGAGGTATCAGGGCTATTGCCTTAAGAGGGCAAAAATGGGTTGAAAAGTAGAAATGGGAAGAGTTCAAGGGATCGCATGGACCCAAAAAATCAGTTTTTTTCTCTGTCCATTTCTCCACAGAATGCTCTAAACATGGAATTCTACTACTTGAGAGAGAAAGTCATGCTAAAACCCTTTTGTCTGACTTGCTAATTCCCTACATGCAGGGAATTAACTTTTCCCATGCAGAAATGTTCAAGTGTGTCAAATCCAGCTTGTGGCTTCAGCCCAGATAGAAATTTCATTACCAGTATTTGAAGGGGGGGAGCCTATTAGCTTTCTGAATTCCTGAAACTGGGAAAAACTCAGGAGTCAGGTAGCGCCTTTTCCAATTTACAAATTTTATTAAAAGGCAGAGGCTTTTGTGAACTTCTGAATTCGTGGAGAGGAGATGGGGCCAGGAAGTTGCAGGGAAAAAAATATACAGAATAGACAGTGCCTTACATTCAGACCAATCTGATTTGCTCACATTTCAAAAAAGGCAGCAACTTTATTTTATTTTATTTTTAGCACAAACATGAATTCTTAAGCATATCCAAAGTCCCGCTTAGACTTAGTATTTTCAGAAAGGCAAAAACTGGCAGGCATTAAGAAGAGAAATGTTGGCAGGGAACTCAGAAATGGTTTCCAACAGGCTACTCTTCTGGTTTGTATTTCTAAATTTCTAAGCTCCAACAGTCAGGCAGGACATGCAAAGAAAGGGGATTAAGAACAAGAAACACTCATGGCCCTTTCTCAAAGAAAAGAAAGCAAGTTGCCCATAAAAGATTCTTGCTCATCTTAGCAGAGCAAAAACTGCCTCCAGTTCAGAGAAAATCTTGTATTTCTGAAAGCACCAAAGAGGAGGGGCGAGACCACTCCTGCAGCTCTGGAAATACCCAGTTCTTTCCAAAACCTAACGTTTTGTCTGAACAGAAAGATTTCAGATCTCATCCAGATTTGTCCGGATCCATCCCCAGAAAAGGAAAAAACAGCATGGATCTTCCCCCAGTACCTATCACAAAGGGAAGCTATTTGCGTTCTCCCTCATCCAGACAGCCGGACGGATCCACATTTGGTTGAGCTTAAAGTAAACCCGACGAAATGAACAGGATGACTCAGTCACGACTTACGCGAACACTGGATTTCAATTATTCTATTCAAGGATGACTAAAGATGCTCCAAGCTAGTTGGCGCACAAGGTCACCACTGTGAGATCACCACAAGCTTTTATACTGAGACGCACCATCGCCCCATGGATCAAAGTGCTCCGACCGTTCAAGGGAGAAAACAACGCTTGCAAGCAAGCGCAGAGAATTGCAGAGACCTTCCAGCCCAGCTTTTAAGCCTGCTTGCTGCTATGAGCTGAACATTTGCTCCCAAACTCTCCTCAGCTTTCCTCTGTTGTAAAAAAAAAACCTGCACACTTCAAGTTACTAGTCCTCACCATCAAAACAGAGGACGATGGTTTAGTTCAATGCACATGAAGCACCATCCTTCTGTGGTAAAACAGCTATTTTTGAATTGGGTGTCCTGCTGGTCTGTGGAATAAAACTCCCAGAAGTAGCCATGTTAGGAGGGAGTTACGGGAATTGCTATCAAACACGTCTGTATTTTCATACAGATCAGGACCTCTGCATTTACGATTTCAGTTTCAAAGCAAACCAGAAACCTCCCATTCACATTGAAGAGCCCCAGGCAGGTGTTCGCCACTTCCGGCTCTCCGTTGTTTACAGCCACTCCTAATTTTATTCGGGGGGGGAATGGCTGAATATATTTTCCCCTGCTCGCCACAGCTGAGTAAAACATGCACGGCTTCAGCCAACTTCGATGCGCGTACAGGAAAAAGGAAAATGTTAGTCACCCAACCCCAAAAGTATATGTGGGAACAGGAAGAAAAGGGGGGTCTGCTTTCTGCAGACACTACATTTTTAAAAGGAGCAGGTGAGGGAGAAGCCTTGGGGATGGCAAGCAGCTGGGCTTGGAACATCGCCAACAGGTTGCCAAGAAATGTTCATTGTGAAACATTTCCAGAGTTGGTAGGTGTATCAAAAATATTTCCCAAGGAAAAAAAAAACATTCGGAGCTCCGTAAGTTCAGATATCAGCTTGTTGTATGGAGACCAACAGACACAGCGCCAGCCTCTCCTGCTTAACAACGAACACATCTGTAAAGAAAGGAATGGAAGTGGAAGGGTGGCAAGCTAAAACCTGGGATTTTTATTATTAGTGAGGAATAAACAGGACAAGGAAAAGCGAACAGGAGGAGGGGAGGAGGCTCTCCTAGGGTGAGTCCCTGAGTCCTCCAGGTGAGCAAACCAGTCTTAGGAGCAATTCATTCTTCTAGGGGGCATTCCTACGAGCCTGAAGTTAAGCTTTTCAAACTGGGCTCGTGAGCATGACACAGGCTTCAGAAAGGCACACAAAGAATGCAACTCTTTGTTCAGAAAGGCAGCAAACAATTGAGAACAGGAGAGCAGAGGAACCAGGCTGGGGCGCAACTAGCCTAGCTATCTGCTGAAGACAAGCAGCTTTGTTTGGCCACCGGTGCCAGCCTGGCCTCCCTCCCCTCTTCCTTCTGTAGCTGCAGCTGTCTGCCCAGATTCCATAACCTTTAAGGCAGATCTTCCCATGGCTGTGCCATGCAAGGAAGTTGCCCGATTGGAATCGCACGACAAAGGACAAATCACATTATTATGGTGGCTTTCCCCCAGCTCCTCTGTTATCTTTTCCAGGGAGGAAGGAACAAGGAGGGATGAAAAAGAGGGTTTTGTAGATTTTTGCAGTTCTGATTGATTTCCACCCTCACCTTCCTCCAGCCTGTTGGATCGCACCTTCCTTACTCCTCCAAGCAAGGGTTCTGCTGTCTTTGTTATCGACAAGGCTCTCTCAAACAAGAGCCCTGCAATTCGAGGATGGAAAGACAACGTCTGTGTCGATCTTCCTTTCTTAAGGGTGAAAATGTTGACCCCAGCAGCAGGTAGTGAAGCATTGAGAGAAGAAAGGGCCCAAGGACTGGAAAGCCAGTTTCAAAGGGGAGGAAGACAAGATTATTATGGAAAGTAATGGAATGCCTGCTCTGAAAAAAGGAAATAATGGCACTGTTTCATTGTGCTTCCTTTCTTTAACTCTTAAGGGTTATGAGAAAAGTGGCAAAAAAGGGGAACTGCAGGAAGATTGCCAGGAATGGCAATTGAACGTCCCCAAATTTTTTAATGCGGTGATTCAGCACCTGCTGGAGGCATTTCGTGTTTATGCAGTCATTCAATTAACGCCCCTAGTTAGAAAAATGGTCAAAGTTTGCAACGAAAGCAGTGAAACGTTAGCAATTTAGGCGCAAAGTACAACTGTATAAGCATTAACAGTCACGCTTGGGTTGTTTTTATGTGTGTGTGTGTGTTCCAACAAGGCCATTCAAATTCTCAAAAACCTAATTTGCCCAGCTGATTCTTTTCCAAATTTTCATGACCGGATTACAATAATTTAATAGCCATTTTCCGGGCCAAGGCCACCATAATCATTCCCCACGAGACAGGCGGCCTTTTTCCACAGGACGTGGGCGACCGCCATCAACACCTCCATGAACAACACAGCAGCTCTCTCGCTGATCCCTGGAGCATCTTCCAGCTGCTAAGAAATTCAGAAGAAGCATTCTCACTTACTCCGAACCCCACCTATACCCAAGCATGCCCTGGCCTTTTTTCAATCATTTAGCCAGTAAAATATGGCTTCTCTGCATTGACCACCTCCTTATCCGCTCTCCCATTTCCCCCATCCTCTTCTGAAGCAGCCTTGGCCAATTCGGCCCCCTCCAGATGTGGAAAGATTGTGGTTCCCAGCTAGATGGCGAGCAGCGCCCTTTGAAAAGCAGCCCCTTGTTCTCATGCATAAAATAACCCTTAAAGCCCCCCCCCCCCCGGCATTTGCTTTGCCTCCCCCTACATTTTATGCAAGTCCAAAATAGTCACCGTTTTTCTGCCCATATTCCACTTCCAAACCACCACCACCCCATTAATGCATCTTCATCCCCTTCCAAATTCCCTTTTTTGCATTGCTCCTGGAGCCCAGTGGGACTTCGGGTGACTTAGATGAAGACAAAAAAGGGTGGTCATCATCATACCAAGACACAGAAAAAGAAAATCAGCAGCAACCACAAAGGTTAAACCGAAATCAAAGCAGTGTCACTGCCTGAAAACCGGGGGGGGGGGGATATTTTTAGGGTCCCCCTTCGCCGTGCCCTCCCTTGGAAAA